CTTACGAACCTAGCCCCTGATAAGTGTGTCGAGTGTTGCCAGACAATTGAGGACGTGCGGTAATACCGGTACCCTTTGAGCAACGTGGACATTGGTACGTCTTTCTGGGTGTAACGATGGCCATTTTTGTATCAATAAAACGCCTAACGGGATCATTACATTACTACAAAATGTATGTTCCATTCATTTTAGAGTGATTTTTAAGGTTACGCTTTGGCATTGTCTAGCACGAAAAACCGCACCAATGTATAACATTTTGCTCCTGAATGAACACGACGAAGACTTTTCTTTTCTAAAAAGTTTAAGGCTTTTTTTTTTAAAACAAAGGCACTATGACTTTGCTGTGCTTGTTTGGCTTTATAGCAATCCTATCTGCCATGTTAGTACAAGCTCCAGCCTCCAACGTCTGGATCGGTTTGAATGATCGAACTGTTGAAGGAGTCTACCGATGGGCTGATGGTACCCCTCTGACCGGATTCACAAACTGGGGTCCAAATCAACCCGATAACGGAAATAAAGCCTTCCAGGAGGTACAGGGAGACTATTTTTATAAGTCATAATTATAAGTTATATTAAGCAGCAAGGTACTTCAATCTTTATCATTGTGCCAAATGAGTTCGTTTGTAGCCGCTAGCCATGCTTTGGCGTGTGGGCTAGCTACTGTGAGTACCCTTTGCTCAACTAGATTACAACTTCACTCCCCCACAAGATTCTTAATATTTCACACTGTGCATCACTCTGGTTTTAGACTTGGGCCACGTACTTGCTCTCTTTGTGACTGAGAAAAATCCTCAGAGAACTTTACACAAAAAATCAAGGATTGTCACAGGGTGGAAAATATAAAATTAAAACCCAGGGATACACAGTTCGACCTGGTTGAAAGGCATTCTTAAATGGGGTTTATAATAACAAGAGATTGCCGGTCCCAGTGGCAGGATACTTGCTATACACCGTAACAAGTTTTTATGGCGATTCCATAATCCAGGACTGCATGTATCTACGGGCAAACGAGAATTTCCCAGGTGAATGGTACGATGGATATTGTGACTATCCTCGGGCGTACATCTGTGAGAAGCCTCAAGGTAAACTTCTGACTAAAGCAA